GGAAGAAGGATCTCTATTTCTTGCGGGTGGAGCTATATTCAAGAATGCACAGCCAGAACTGTCCGTGACGTTGTTACCACGCTTTTTTGACTGGTGAAGTAGTACATTATGAGCAGCTGTGGAGTGCTCATCGTATACGCCGAAGGGATTCTACCACCAGGTATAGCGGATAAAGAATAAAGCAGAGGTCGTTGATCAATCCATTTTTGGATGTGGCACGCATTCCACATCCATTCAGAATCTCAGTGGCTTGGCTGGGAAGGAGCCGATTGGAGATTTGACCCTCGGATCACGCTCATGGTAAGCAGCCCATTGCGTCTGTCCCAAGGCAAAAGCGGAAAATCTCTCTGAATCAGGCCACTTCCAGTGTGACTAAAAGCGAAAAATTAAAACTGATTCGCAAAACACACCTCAGCTTGAGATTTCTCACTGCTGATATGAGCGACAGGAATTGGGGGCGTAATTGAGGACAACGCCGATAGTAGCTCACGTGCTCGTTCTTTACTCTGAAATCATAATAAACAAGATTGACCTAAGGTGAGAAGAAGATGCGTTCACTTGCCTGCACAAAAATCAGTGCCGGTGGCTCAAATTGGGTTTGGAGGAGGGTTCGAATAGCGAGAAGCTTTCCATGTTCTGAACCAGCAAACACCAAGTTCCTGCGTCACGTTGGCATTTGCTGAGTTTCTAAACAATAACAACTAAAACATTACTAGTTATTCTAGACATACTTTTAGAACATACCTTTCACCGATACACACCATTGCAACGTTGTTCAAATTCTCTTTGCACCTGAATCCAGTACTGTTGTAGAAACATACACAACGTTTCAAACAATAACATTCAAACTCACCACTCCTCCACTTCGTAGGAAAACGTGGCACTAAAAAAGGCTCTCCGAGTGAATTTCCCATCGCAGGCCTTGTAGACGCTGGCGAGCTTGAAATGGAAAATTCAAAGCAGTCATGCAATTACCACATAGAATGCTGAATTTGCCAAGGTTAACCACATAATGTTCAAGGTAAATAGAAATAGGGAGCGAGCACAAAAGTCAGCCCACTTAAAGGTTTCTATATGACTCAACATTATCTCAAATCTTTAACACAGTTGATTTTTTTACAGTTGCTTCTTGAGTTGCCATTGTTTAGCATAACAAAACCGTGCATATTTCTTTTGCTATCTTTACATTCTCATTACTTTTTACAATGCCTGATCTTCTCAAGACGGTCGGCTGGAACTATGGAGAAAAGTGATCTCCATGATCAATTAAATGAAGGGATGGAGAACAGGGACGGAAATAGGGGAATTCAGCCCTAACCGTAACCTGTACTTCTGGGGAAGCGTTCTTTCGAAGGCCTTCGACTCGATTCACGAAAGCCGTCTGGTCCATTCCGCGATTAGGCCCCCCTATGACAGTAATGCGATTCGAATTTCGAAGACTAAATACGGGTCCTGAACAAGCTCCAAGTTCATAATACAAGCTCTGAGCGAGATGATAGGTGAAAGCGAAGGTCGAGTACAGATTTCACACAGAGGGGCTAGATATCGAAGAAACTGACGCGCGGAAGCCAATCAGCCTCAGCGCCGGGAAATTCGCTTGCAATGGCACGCTGTAATGGGATTTTTTGTGGGTTTTAGTATCTTGTATGGAAGAGGCTTTTGCAGTCTAAGTGGAGGGTTTCTTACGCCCTGTGCAACTGCGGATCTGCGCACTTCAGTCACGATAGGCACCTCCATTTCTTGCAGGAATGGATTAGCTGTAGCGTGCGCAAAGGTCAAGTAAGAAACATTAGTAGAATCGAGGCTAGCAGGTTTCCAACAGATATTTCTGCTTTTCGCTAACCATGTTTTGTCTTTGAAGAGATCATAAGCGTCGACATAAAACCGTTCAAAACGTTTTAAACGACGGAATTTCAATGATAATTGTTCAGCGAAGGTAGAAAAGGGGCTACTGTTGTTGTGCGACAGGGGGGGGGGGAGAGGGAGGAGTAATGTGACTAATCTACCCAACTGCGCCCTCTAAGAAAAATGCAGTTCGCCTTCAGCAGAGGCAGACCCCAGACGAGGGCGTTTCCTTATCTTCGCTCGATACCTCCGCTTTCTTCCTTCAAGCCAGTTAGCTCTCTGGCTTAAATTGTGTCATGTACTCACCTGAACTTCGAAGTGTAAGATGAACTGAAAAATGCTGAGGGGAAAAATGGAGGTGAAGTGATTACTTACTTGATTCCGAAAACATCGCTCCTGCCCTTCAACAACTTCAAACAAGCGATCGCTCTCATCAACAACAAGCCACCTAGATAGGCGTGTATACAGGACGAGACTTCAGTCACTATGTAGAAAATGCAAGAAGTTATTCAAAATGATAACGCATAATACTAACCTTAGGAATTTGAGCTGCATATCTTGCAAATGGTGAGCAAGACGATTCGGCGTAGAAACAAGTATATCAACTATAAAATAAATGTAGTAAGAACAAGCTAAAACTGATTCTCGTCTGAAATCCTTCAGGTTTACCATTTTGTGGAATTTCTTCACTTTCGAATAAGGCGGCTTTAACTGGGAGACCCTGGCCAAACTTGAGGAATTGACGATATGTCTGAAAGAAAAGAATTACCTACACCACAACAAAAAAGTTATCTGGGAAAGCTACCTGAGACGCTAGTTCTCTGGTGGGTTCTAAGACTATTGCCAATAGCTTTGATCCATCCTTATACTTGTTCAATTTCCTCAACTTCAGCACGTCCATAATTACAGGGATAGCGAACGCGAGGGTCTTCCCGGATCCTGAATTAAAATTACAGTTCAGTGGATTAACTTATCATCCTACTTGTAAGATTCCAATATGAAGCTTCCAAGGAATATAAGAAAATCGAGTCAGAAGGATGAACAGTGCAAACAACGTACCTGTTGGCGCGCTAGCCAAAACGTCTCGATGCTTCATCATAAGAGGTACTGCCTAAATATAAAACAATTTCGCCGCCTTTGAGAATAGAATCATTTCCCATAGCTTTTAGAACACTTAATTTCAGGATAGGACTTTGATGTACAGTCCTTAACTAACAAATCAACAAGGCGGGCCAGTGATACATGGATTTTGGAACGGCGCCAGCTCATTCTCCGAGCTCGTTGCTCGCCTCAACAGGCAACGACCGTTGGAAAAAGTCGTATACGCCCATTTCGATTCGCTCGCTGAGACTGTATGGGCTGTTCCTCCTTGTTTTCAAGAGGCTTCAACAACAACCGAAAGGAAACTCCGGTACAAACTCCGGTACAACATCCTATACAATTCAAAATCTGAGGGGATCATGAAGCATTTCGCGAAAAAAGCTAAGCATTCTGAAAAAACATCACTATGGCTACATGGCTGGCCAATAAAGATTTTCAATCTGTACAAACTGCAGCCTGATGGCTATTCTATGATATCCACGCTCCTACGCAAAACCCTCCTCTTCTTTCCTTGTCGTCTTCCCCCCTTTTTCACTCCCTCTCCCTTCTTTTCTTCCTTGAAAGGCTCACCAAACAGCGCAACGAGAAGATATCTCTGGACTTCACCGCTATATACCCGGTGTAAGTACATAACCTTTACTGAAAAAACATTATCAACGGCTATTAAAAAGAAAGCTGACCTGCATTTGAATTGGAGTCGGCTCTCCAATTCCAAACTCGTTCAAGCGAAGCCATTAAGCACAGGTGGCAGGTTGAGTTCGGTGAAGTCAATGAAAGGGTCAGGCACGTCCTCACCCCATGTGTAAATTCGGTTTGAACGTCGAAGTTGATGGATCTGAAACACCATTCGGTTCAAGGATAACTGGGCTCGTCAGCGTGAGCCGATCTCCGAACTAAGTCCCCCTCCCCTGTAGCCCTGATAGCAACAGGAGTTAAAAAATGTGAAAGCGAAGGCTCTGATTTGAAGAAGGAGTATTTTAAGCCACCTTCTCAGCGATTTGTTTTTGAATATCATCACTATGAGTAGGAACTTCGTGGGAACTGACAGGAACTGTTTTTGATGATGTCTTCGCGTTTTTTGGCATACGGCCATCGGAAAAGAGTTTGAAACCTGAAAAATTTCTCCTTGCAGATATAACTGGAGTTCATTCTGCTGAAAGAAGAAAAAAAATAAAAACCCAAGCGAAATCAATGGGATTGCTATCTCACCTTCTTCAACCGCTTCATTGTCTTCTGAGACTTCCACCTGTATCTGTTCCCCATTTTGTCGCTTCCGTAGACTTCTGAGATCTTCTTTTATATTTTCCGGAAGAACTCGCAGTCGTAGAGAAGCATCATCCTCACTCTCTTCATGGTTCTAAAAAACGTCAGAATCTATGAACGAATAAGAGCACAAAGCGAGAAGACTACTACTGGAACTCACTGCAGCTATTTGTCTTGGTGTTTTCTTGATGCCAAACGTAAGTCGTTTGAAAATGTCATCGCGCATCTGCTCTCTGCAATGCAATTTTGAGGAAACAATCGTTTGGATTTCGACCGAAAAATTGCGTGTTTGTTGACATCCAATACACTACAGCTGTAAGTCGTGCATTTACGTCCAAAACATTGGAACCGTCGATTAGACGCTGCGGCGACGCTCAAGCTGGCTTTTACGTTAAATTCTGTTTCTTGTCGAAATGCTCTTCCTAGTGGGGAAAAGAAACCAGGAACTTGAAATCAGAGAAAATAAAGGGAGTGGGGAAAAGGGGAACTAACCTGGTTAATTATCAACTATTTTCCACGCGTTTCTTCGGCTGCATTGTTTTCGCTTCCAAATTCACGGTTCTCAAGCTGTCAGTGCTGATTATTTAGCATGTATTTTTCAGTTAAAGCTTTCAACAGTCAACAGCGCCCATATTCTAAAAGAATCACCTAATTATGGTGTGCGATGCATGTAAGTTTACGATTTTTTCATAACGATTGGCTATGTTTTATGATTTGATTTTCGCATCCACTATTATATAACATTCTTTATTTTGCAACAGTGAGAGCTCTCCTAAATATTGATTCACGGGTTTTTCGGAATATTGATTTACTCTTGGCTGCATTCATAAAACAAATATTCCTGGGACCCGCCGAAAAACAGGGCACAATTATTATTTGGGTACTTGTCTAGACTGTACGATCCTCCCTCTTTTTTGGTATTGTACGATCCCACCCCCTCCCCTCCGCCCCTGTCGACGGGCGGGGGGGGGGGGTAATAGTACCCATGAAACCTGAAAATCTCAGAAGTCAACCACCTCTCGCAGAAGGCCAGAAAGTAAATACGACCCTCCCCCTCCCAACAACGAGCAAGTACGATCATCTTCCTTTTACAACGTTCGTGAAGCAGAAAAATCAACTATCGAAAATAATTTTTCTCAGCCCAAATGCGACCCCTCTCTCCCGGCGACCAAATACGCCCCCCGCTACCTTTGGGGTTCCCAACCAACGATGTGCCCTGCCGAAAAAAAGCCTACATATCGATTTGAAGATTCGCGGAATCCGCAGTTTCCAAGAACGCGCGAAATGGTGAGCTTAGGCGAAGTTGGTGAATAAAACATGATAGAATTTGTCACCTCCCGCTCCCTGCAACGTAGTCCTTCAAGAAAGCATCGCAGCGTAGTCTTTCAGAGAAGACATTGTCGCTTTGCCTAGCTTATCTACAGTCTCCATTTCGTCCCCTCTTGAAACCTTGGCATGTTGTCGAAACTTATCCACTTTTGTCAAACGAAGTTGAGGGATGTAACCTCTATTAGACCGACGTTTCATCCCTTCTTCGGAGGCCGAAGGTCCCACCAAAATGCAGAACCTAGCACACGCTGTGTTAGTGGCTTTAGTAAGAACAAACGAGTCTTCAGTAACCTCACTAACGCAGCGTGAGCTACGCCCCGCTTGTTGGAGCGCGTTTAGACTTCGCGGTCGCGCGACTGGATTGCACGATCGAGTCGAGCGATCCGATCGTGCGATCGCGAAGTCTTAACGCGATTCTTGGTGGGACCTTCGGCTGGCGTATAGCTTGACAAGGGATCGTAATTCGCCGCGCTGCTGGGCGTCGCGTGCGACGTCTCGTCTGCAAAGGACGATGGTTCCAGGTAGTAGATGGCGACAACATGCAATTAAGGACCGAAAACAGTAATGACTGTCTACGATGACGGGTCTACATGAAGTGCGGTGCTCCATTCGACAGGTTTAAAACAATTTATGAAGACGCGCGCCATCGCGCGCCGCGTGCGGTGCGGCGAAATTAACGATCCTGCTTTACGTCTCCTCTATCGGCTTGGAAGAAACGAGACAAGGTCGCGTACGTCGAGCCATTAAACGTTCCCATCTTACAACAACAGCATTCTCGTTTGGCAGAAGTGAGTAAAATACACGTTAGCACCAATGCCAGATAGCTTTCAAGTCACGCTCTGTTCTATTCCAACGAAACAGCTATTCTTGATTCAGAAATATTGCTTGTTCTCATTGCCGTTGTTAATTAATCTACCGCATATGACCATCCATACTGATCTATTATGTTACTATATTGCCTTGCGTATTTACCAGAAGGCTGAAGGTCGAATGCCATTTGTTGCAGGCCAGAAGAAGCTGACAAAGATTGTTGGTGTTGATCCATATCGCAACAAAGCCCACAACAAATTGTCAGGAGTTCAAAAACGCCCACAAACAACACAGAATAGGTTATTCGGAGTTGAAAAGAAGTAGGTGATATCTCCATTTCAAGATTCATTTCACCTGGGATTTTCAGTCGCAGTTTTTTTTCCAGAATCAGTGTAATGAATGCAAAGTGCAAGATCTGCAAGTGTTCCATCCATCAGGCTGGCTCACACTATTGTCAAACTTGTGCATATCAAAAAGGTATTTGTGCGATGTGTGGCAAACGAATTCTAAATACCACTGGTTTACGGCAGAGTACCGTTTGAGCTACTTCATTGGAACTATTCCAGCAGGGTGGGGCATCCTGTGACATAACTGAAGGTTGCTAGCCCAGGAATTAAGTTTTCTAGCCGTAGGGGAACAATTTAGCAGAATACGACCTCACTACTCGAGATTTCTTCCTCTACTACGACCTCCTCTCCCCTCATCCCTTATCCTACAATTCAACTTCGTGCTACTTTTCCGGGGGCAGGGGATGGAGGTAGCCGGAAGCTAAAAGCGCAAGTGAAACGGGAAAACTAAGAAAAGTCAACTGGAAACATCCTCTCTCAAGAGCAAAACGACCAAATCTCTCCTCCCTGACCTAATACTACCCCTTGAATCAACTCCTTCCTGTGGAAAGTGGTTTTAAACACCTTCGGTGCTGTGCAGCAAAGACGGAAACAGGACACGTCTTACGTTGACGAATCCCGGGGGTGCGAGGTCGTATTTGGTCGCTGAACGGAGCGGGGGTCGCATTCGGTCCGAGGAAAATTGTCTGATAGTTGATTTTTCCTTTTTACGGGGGCTATTCGCATCATTAGGAAAATTGCACTGAGAGGGGGGTCATATTTGCTCGCCGTTGGGAGACGGGGTCGTATCTGCTTTTTGAGAGAAATTTGCTGCGTCGCGAGGTTTCTCCGATATTGACTTTTCTCGGTTTTTCACGCTCCACCTCTCCCCGTCAACCCGGCAAGCATTTAAGGAAAAATGTGGAAAATTATGGGGAAATTTCGGAATGTGTAATAATTTGGGAAAAATTGTAGGATGCGGAAAGGGGGTCGTAGTAGCAGAGGACGAAATTAGGGAGGGATAGTGTTATCCGAAAACTTTCCCCAGCGGCAGGAAGTGCCCTAACTAGAAATCACGATTTGCCACCACCTTACTGGAACAGCTCCTTTCTTTTCGTTATCACCTTTTTTTTCATTATTTTCTCATTATCTCATTCGGGTTTCGCCTATTTACGTATAACGTTATCACGAAATAACCTTGTTTGTATAAACCATGTATTAAACAGATATTCACATGCATTTTCATAGAACAATCAACAAGAATAGCAAAATAAATAAGTCAACAAGAATGTTATTTACGTAAATCCTGAGATATACAAACATTTTATTAATATTCTGATTGAGTCCACAACTTGAAAGTGCGGTCAAATGCTGACGACATAATCCATTTGCCATCTGGACTGATATCGACACACATTACCTTCAAAAGTGAACATTGCTCTGATATTTCCAAATTTTTTGGATTCCACCTACTTTCGTATCATGTCCTTTCAACTGTCTTAATGGTTGCCATCCGGAACACGACCATATCTGAAATACCCGTCTCAATAGCACACATCTGTAAGTACTGTTTAACCTTACGAGTGAGGTTTGTAATAGCCGAGCAACATCACAAGCAGCTGAAGTAGAGAGTTCCTTATCAGAGACCAGTATATAGTTATGTAAAGGAAAACAGAGGATCACTTCAATACAGGGCACATCGTTGTTGGGGAATCCCCAATAGGGGGGTCGTATTTGGCCGCCAGGAGAGGGGGTCGTATTTGGGCTGGGAAAAATTTATTTTGATAGTTGATTTTTCTCGCTTCACGGA